GACTCGGATGCAGGCGATCATGGCATCATCATACCAACTACAGCCAGCTGAACATTTTTTGGGTTCGCGAGTGCGCACTCAGTGCATCCCACGGAACGCCGAACTTCCTGCGCGCCCACTATCCCTATGTCTTTCCGCCTTTCTTTCTGGCTTTGAGCATGAATCCCGACGAACAGAATTCTTCTTTTAGTGCTCCAGTCGGAAAGTGTTCAACTTTTCAACGCAGCGCACGCGATTGTTATATTTGAATTCAAGCAGGCTGCAGATGATCCTGGATAGTTATTTTATCTGTTTCTCGGAAATCACCGTCAGTGACGAAGCCGTCAGTTAAATAGAAGCCATGTAAGTGAAGAAGAAGAGGAAGAAGAAGGAGGCTGGTCGAGCACCGGTAGAGTGTTTATTGTTCCGAGCTCTCGAAATCGTGCTGAAGTCCTATAATTGTCGCCCGTTCTGTTGTTGGTACTATCTCTGAGGATGAACTCTTACAGGAGTTCGAAAGCTCAGAACAATAAACAGACTGCTTCAATGCTCCAACAGCCTTCTTCTTCACTTAAACACGCGCCTTGAACGCGGACTTTCGTCCCCACTACTTCGTATAGTCATACTTGCGACAGACACTGCATACAGAAATACTGCACTGCAGGTGTCTCCAAAAATTTCCAACGTCCTGATTGCAATCTCCTGACTTAAACTTTGCAGCGCATGGTTTTCATTCATAGCAGGCCCTCCGTTTCATTGGTGGCGATTGTCTGTAGGTGTACCATTATCAATAGCATGGCCCCTACAGCGGCCACGAGGGAGTTGGGCTTGACCGACGCAGGACCAGATCAGGGTACGGCGCGCGTTAATGGGCTGCGCACCCAATAACGAATGTCATACACAAGGATGTAGCAGTACGTCAGGGCACTGGCTCATGCGGCGCCAGCTACCTTCATCCTGCGCCGTCTCCCGTCTTCTCTACTGTCTTGACACCGGGCCTAGGTGGGTGAGGGGGGAGGGAGTGCGGTAGATTCAGTGTGAGTAAACTACTTCACGCACCTGCCACCGTTCCTGCAGCCATTCTGTTGTGGGACGCGCAGCGGATGTCGTCGGTCACGACGGTAAAACTGTCGCACATCTTTGAGTACCATTTTGGATATAAAGCTGCGGATAGCACAGCTACCGTGGATGCTCAATGCAATCAATACAAAAGTTCACAGCGCTTGACGAATTGATATTTCCGTAGCGTTTTTATTTACATCTGTCCATACTGCAGGCGGCTGTAATCCGGGCGGCGGCTTAGATAAATAATTTGATGGAAACGGTTGCCTTTCGACCGACGGAGAACTGAGTCAAATAAACTAAGGCGGTGCCCCTTCAGTGTCTTAGCGACAGGTGTCCGCGACCAATGGTAAAACCCCGAGTCTAGGGCATACCTTGATATCCAGATCTGCAGCTGGCTCTAGCGGCTCTGCATCTAACGGCCATCTCTAATTATAAGCGCGAGAGAGGCTAAAGGTCGTAAACGAAGGGAGGGACAGACTTTGAGATGGCCTTACACATCTGAATCTTTTTTTACTGCTGAGCCACGTTGCAGGAGCACACGCATTAAGCGAAACGACAAAACACGCTGAGTGTGAGTTAGATATGATGATTTACTTCTTCTTGGCATTGGTTCAGTCAGTGGCACAGAAAAACTGAGCCGGCCCACTCGAGCCCTCGCCGCTCAAGCGTGAAAACGTAACTTTCTGCAGCGTTAGGTCTAGCTGGTCTTTGGTCTTCTCGACATTTATTTCCGAGGCGAAGTCGCTAGACGTGACTATAATTATGGAAAGGTTGAGCCTCTTGGAAGGAACTCACAGACACGGAAGTGCAATCGGCATAGTAGAGTTGTGATACAAGACTTTTGACTTAAAAGCCTACGTGATCGTGAAGCTCAGCAGAGGCAGCAACAAGGATCACAAAGGTAGATAGGATTGGTGGCAGAACAGTCTTAGAAGACGTCAAGCTCAACGGTGCCATACTCGATCTCATCAACGTACTCCTAGGATTTTGTTCGCGCGATTTGAATGAACGCCTTGAGTAAATCTATACATTTCAGAAAGATGCCATCAGCGTTAAATACCCCCCCCCCAGTATTTCTGTCGAGCACAGCAGTAAAGACAGAAGAAAAATGCTCTAGTTGAAAAGCAGGACTCATCCCAGGATGGGTCATATTTAAGTAGTTGTCAAGACGAAATCAAGATTATTTTGCCTTAATGCATAAACCTTACGATTTCTTGAGTACTTAGGGAAGATTTCATAACGTACATTGGCAAAAAACGCAGACTGGATCAAGGTCTACTGTAGTCGCGGTATATATGGTTTGCCACAAAAGCTAGAATATCATGAAGAGCCACTCAATTAACGACACGGACGAAGAAGACTACGATAAACGCCCAAAGTGCTTTTGCTGTACACAGTCGACTATAACCCAACCTCAAATCCAGAAGACTGAAGATTTGAACCCTGATCCACTAGGTCACTTGTTTTAATGACAGTTGAGTCGTACAACACGTTTGCGACCGGTAACAGTTAGCATCGCGTGAGCGGCGTTTAGAGATCTGGAATACTTGAAGTCTGTCGGTTTAGCGGATGAGACCATTACTCGAGCGGAAGCCTGTTAAACTGTTAGTAACCGGACTCCAGTTCAAATCTTCCCGGACTAGCTTTGAAGTATGGCTGAATGTGGGCAGAGGAAGGATCAATCCCGCCACGCTCGTCTCAGTTGAAATCCATTGTAATCGACTGTTCGTCGCTATGCAGTCGCCTCCGATAGCCTTGCACTGGAACTGCGAGACCAATGAGCACGAACGAATTTAGTCTTACAGGAACGGACCGGTTAACACCACCCTCACGCAAAATATGCAAATTTAGGTAAGAAGTCCACGTTCACAGGTGATTCGTCCCGGCGGGGCTGGATTTTGGTAACAGAGAAAGATGCAAGACTTGCTTACTTGTACTTGTACAAGTAAGTCAAGCTAAGAATGAACTGTTGTTCGCCTAACGATGAAGTTTGCTCATGTTCCTGGTGACTACCGACTGTTCCAATTCCCACGAAACACTACCAATGTCAACTTCGGTGGACCTTAAATAGCTACGTCTCCGGCCAGGCCCCATGCTAAAATTTGGGTATTCAGTGACACAGGCACGCTACACATCATGCACCAGATAAGTAGCGCTGACCAACAATGTCCTTTTCTTTGCGCCCGTTGTGAGCTAGACAAATAAACGAGGTCTCATGGATGTTTTTTTCATGAATACGGTCCATTGACCATTCAAACAAGGCAGACTGGCGTCAATGTGTTCAGCAGATCAAGGCAGTTTGTGATGTCTTGATCGGTGAGATTTGGTTTGGTAGCCCCACCTGATGGACACAATACTGTGGGGGTTGGGGTTAAGGTTAGAGGGTTCGGGTTAGGGTAACTATTCCTCAACCATTCGAAGTACAACCGCGCATTCCCAATGGCTTTTCTTTTGCATGCAAATACTTGACCTCGTCGCCTATGCTACCGGTCCCATATTAGAGGTGACAGGGGTTTGTTAACTTCAGGTGGGGCTACACAACCACATCCGACCGTCTGATCTGACAAAAACGTTGAGCTCTGCTGACAGAGAATCCCCAAACCATCCTTTGACCATGGCAGCCGGCTCTGCATGAGGCCATGCAAGACGGAGATGGTCACCAACTTCGTATCAAGTGCTGTTGGCAAAATCGTCCACGAAAGGGCGAGTCATTTGGTCGAAACTTCCACAAATATTGTCATGACGCTGAGGAGAACAGATAATCAAATGTATTACGAGTGGCTTCATTACCAACCTCACTGAAGGTCAAGGCATGGACAGCAAATGCAGTCATGTTGGTAATTGCGCCTTCCTGCAATATGCGTAGGATACAAGCTTTCACATCATGAGCGCCTATTTGCCTTTCATTGCGCCGAAAATGCCACTGGCGTTCATAAAGTCTATTGAAATGTCAGACGTTAGGTCCTTACACGACGATTACACTTTCCGAAAAAACAGACTTGGGTACAGGCAACGGCGATACTTCAGGTTAGTGCATCATAAGTGAGTGTGTATGCTGCCAATGACAGCAAAAACGGTCTATTTTTGAGAGGTATTCCAGTTCACATACTTAACGCCCGATCTTCTAATGGAGGCAGGGTGTGCCACTCCCCCGCGACATCAGTAGCTTTATACTGAATCCTAAACTACCTTAGTGAGTTGAGAAGATATGACTAAAGCAAGATCCGAAGACGAAAGCGAGCAATCGAGAAGTCCTCATCCGTAAGGCGACAGATTTGGACAAAATCTTAATGAATGGTTGGCAAAGTTCGCAATGTCGTAAAAGAACTACTTCCCACAGGTTACTAACCTGCCACATCGGTGAAGGGTCTTGTCTGACGATATCAATGCTGCGTAGGTCACGACTGCTCATGGATCAGACAGAGAAGACTCGCTTACTTTTTAGTGGGTCTTTACAGGAAGTCATTCTGCTTTCGGCATGCGGAGAGGCACGTCAGTCCGCAGATAGATTAGTAGGTAAGTCCACTCATCCCGGAATTCAACTTCTTAGCAAAGAGCACCTGTATGCTAAACTTGACGAAACAGTCCGTATGCGTTCACAAAGGAATAGGCAGCAGGGCGGACAAATGGCATTTCAAAGGGGTCCAAAACATGTACAAATAGGTACAGAACAGGAGCACGTCGGAATCCCAGCAGTCAAATGGAACCTGTGGGAGGAAAATCGTGACAGCATGGAGAGCGCAACTATGGAACTAGAACAAGCATTTCAGTCAAACGCACAGGTTATCACAAAATAAGCGACATCTGCGGTAGAACATTGCGAGGGCTGAGTGGAATACTGCTGGATTAGCCTAAAAAATTCATCCGCGAGTTAAATTGGGTATTGTAAAAAAGTGCAAAAAGCAGATTTCGCACTGAAAGGTTCGAAACGCAGCCAGGTTTCACGACCGGATGTGCTACTTTGGGATCATGGAGAGAACGCGTTTGACAAGAAGTCCTATGTTATCAAAGACCTCTCCAATTTCCGCAGTGCTGCACATGTAGGCTGGAGCGGTGACAACCTTGTTCTCGTCGTCCACGCAAACTTCCTGAAACATAAGACATGCATAAGCGAAAAGGTCACTCATGTACTGCATTGGGTTTTGATTTGTATGTGTGTCCACTCCTTCGTGTTAAAACCTGGTCTCTAGTGTGGGGAGGTAGCTTGTGTGTGGCACGCGCAAACGGGCCGTTTAGTCGTCCTAGTCACTGCGTCCAATCCCTGCATCAGATAACTGACCTGCTCGAACAATTAACTGGTACCTGTGAGAGGGGAAAGTGGGGTCACCTCCGAGGAATCCCTCCCAACGGCATTCAGTGCATATTCCTCACTACAAACAATCGGCCGGTATTTTAAATAATCGCGGTGCGCTGAAAGTCGTGACTTGGTACACTGTAAACTGACGCGATACCTTGGTATTCAACTTAGAAGGGGGAGTTAGGCTGCAATGACTACTTCTTAATGTGGCCCCCATGGCACTCCCATTCAGATGGGATCCGAGACGCCCTGCCTTGTTTCTGTGAGCACCTGATCAATTGTGAGAGGACGAGACGCTTCTGGCAAGCGTAGAGGGGCAGTTTAGCCCTGCCAGTTACCGCGCCAGATCCCATCTCCGGTCTTTTAGACTCTGCCTTAACACCAGATACAGGTGGGGGGAGGGGGGAAGAGAGTGCGGTAGACCCGACGCAAGTCTACTATCAGTATAAACTAGTTCACGCGAAAGTCGCCGTCCCTGCTCCCACCCTGTTGTGGAGCACACGGTGGACATCGCTAGTAACGACGGTCGAACCCGTCGCGTATGTGTGTCCTTCAATCTCCGAATAATGTTGAACACGATACGTAGTTGCATTTGCGCTTAGGGTTTCCCAACCACATACCGCAAGTCGGACCTCCAAAGTCAGACACGCCTTTGGCCGGCCATGGCACTCCGTCTGAAATCATCAGGACAGCCTATTAAACGCAAAACTGAAGATATTCAGGGCTGTTGTCCTGACAAACTTCTTGTAAATAATGGAGAGGTGATGTGTGTATGAAAACCAAGCAAGGACACTTGATCGTCTCCACCCCTGATGTCTACTGAGAATACTAAAAGTGGTGGCAGGGAAAGATCTCAGGCACCTGGATTCTGGGAAAAAACGGTACCGTCGGAAGTCACACCAAGTTGAGGTAAATACTACTGTGCTGGAGGGTGCACGTCGTCGTGATGGATGTCGAATGCCTATCCCAACAACTATTCTACAGTGACGGTCCCACAGAGCTTGCAAACAAAACAGACAAAGGTTTTAACAAGGAAAACTCCCTGAAGAGCTCTGCCCAGTACTTGAAGACCTCGCAGAGGGTCGACAGGCATAGCGTACTTGCGAAAAAAACTAGGCAACCGTCCTCGAATCCAACCGAGGGGGCGATGCCACAGCACTGAAAGAAAATTTCAGGATTCAAGTACAGCAGACCAATGGCGCAGGCACACAACCATACTGTCCACGCAGTCATTAGACATTACGAGCACAGATCCGCCTCGTTGGAAATTCCCGGACTCAGTGCCATACTAACACAATCAGGCACTTTATCTCACAAAACACCACGACAGTTTGACTGTCGCAAGCGATAACGTCCGTCGGCAGAATCTCGGAGTGGGCGCAGTACCGGTGACTTGCGTGTGAATTGGTTTATGGTGAGGCAGACTTGCGCAGCGCCCACCTCACCCTTTCCTTCCTCGCCCATCTTCCTGTGGCAAGATAGCGTCAAGACGATCGGAAGTGTGCCCGGGAGCAGTGGCCGATAAAAGTCATACGGCTCGTCTACGCAAGCCACACAGTCTGGCCTTCACAAAAAGTATCAAAATTTCGTAATGGCAGCTAGGGTGTCAGAGCAGCGAGTGTGGCATAAAAACCACGCTAAAATGGGGCCACTGGACCTGACTCTCAAACCAGATGATCAAATTAAGCTGTTAGTTGGCAACCTTCCAAGCCACGACTCCTATTGTGTCATGGTAGATTTAGGTCTGTCGGAGCTATAATAGTGGGGGATGCACTGGCTTGATGTGGTGAATTCCCCGGTGTCATCCTCACTCTCCCCCCTTCTTCCATGCATTAGTCGACTGTGTGGACCTGTCGGCCAGCGGATGAGGGGATTCAACGCAGTGGTTGACACGGTATGAAAAATGCCAAAGTCGAACTAGGTATATAATACGATCTGAATGAGTTGTTTCAGGGAGCCTTCCAGAAAATCGTAACTGTTTTTAGTCAATCAATGCGGAGGGTGGACATACTGCTTCTAAGTCTAAAAATTAGAGTATACCAACAATATGCGAATCTTGGTTCATAGAAAAAGAAATACTGCTGCAAAGTGTCATCAGAAGTCTCTATTACGCAAACATCTGCCATAGGTTACCTTCAGTAAAGCTTAAAAATCCAGCAGGGGCAAGACTGGCTTGAATTACTTTGATGCCGCAAATGCACCGGCAATTAGAACGCCACTCAATGGAGTTTTTTCTCTAGGCAAATTGGCACTGCTCACAGGTATGAAGACCACTCAAGGGCTTAAAATACCAGAAAACAACTAGAGAACGCTGGGGCCAACATCGATCTGCTGAACACCTAGTAATAACCTCGTAAAGCAACAGAAAAACACGGCCAAGCTTTTGGTTAGCGTCCGTGCCAGCAGACTAGAAGAACGACTTCGATGTGTACAGAATATGCCTCAGATAGAAAATTTTCAAAATAAACGAGCTGACAGATACACCTGAAGCTGAAATAATTTCGTGCGGTTAGCTGAACACGAAAACTCAGAGAAATTCGATCGGGGTACAGACCTGTGGAGACTAAATATACAAGGCATACCGTTATGTCTCGAGGTTCGTGACGGGCTCCCATTTCCTTGACGGCTGAGCAGGCACCGCAGTTCTGCCAGCGCCCTCCTTCGTCGGTCTCCATGCCAAGGGTTATTTTGACACCGGGTAGACAGCGCGCAGCCAGCACAGGAGCAATACAACATAAACTGGCAGTCGGAATTAGAAACAGAGGCAAACATTAGCATAAACCCTAATTGGACAGAAAGCGAACTATGAAAAGACAGTAAACTGAAATAATGACGCGCTCCAATTAGCACAAGAGATCGTTACAGCAGTCTTACATACAAAAAAGTTGTATGAGTGACGAGTTTACCAAAGCAGTCATGAACACCATAAAATGCTGTTTACCTAAGTAAACAGCAGGAACAGTACTGTCAAAAACCAAAAAATGTCAAGTGCCCGGACAACATAGAAAGCCAAGTGATGAGTCCATCATATGTCCCATCGAGAGCGTTGGAAAGCATGGGGAAAAGATAATGATGAAGATTCCGAAGCCAAGCATCGCTGGGTAAACTGGGCAGACCACTTTAAAGTTATGACAGACACAACCTAACTAGTTATGGGCACGCTATACCTCGACAATGGTAAAAGGACTAGTGGTTAAAAAGTATAAGTAACGCAAAGGGTCGTCGGCGCACACTTCGTTAATACTCTTAAACATTATTTCGACAGCGCATTTGGGTTGGATCATTTAGCCATCTACGCAGATAGAGCGCTAACCACTCAAACATACCGAAATGGTCTCATGCAAAATGTTCTGAAGTGTTAAAATTGCAATCGCCCAACAAAGGCAACGCGCTGAAAACGCAAACCAAACTTTGTTTTGTGGTACCTAATCGTTACTGAAATTAACAATCTGCTAGGCGATCAAAGGATTCTAGACTTCATCAGGCGGTGCCCCAAAGGCAAAACCAAATCAGGAACCCAATAACCTGAGCTACAAACTCGCAATGATGACTTTTCAGCAGGACCGTAAATTAACAAAAAGTTGGTGAGAGAAGAACACAAGAACTATTAGGCCGAAATGGAAGGTCACGGGAAGCGAGTCTCGAAAAACAGTTTAAAGTCAGCGGTAAACATTTAGCATCGGAAGACTGAAATACAGATTTTGAATTGCTTACTGACAATCGGGCTAAAGTCCAGCGCCACTTAAAAAATTCGAAGGTATTCTCGAAACCCCTTTCCGAGCAATCGCCAATTATCTTTCGTCGACGACAGTTTCATCCTTACCTGTCATAAATGTGATAGTCCGACAGAGTGGGAAATGGTTAACGGGAGTACGGAAATCTAGTGCCGGAATTCTGGAGGCCCGACCCAGTTTATTAATTGAACGAAACTTTAAAAATCAACAGAATCCCCTGGCTGCTGTTGGTTAACGGGATATGAGAAGTCTCCACAAACGAAACGCGAATCTAAGGAAAATGTTACCTACTTCCGGCCGCCAAAACCAATAACGTCCGTCGGTAATGTAAAAATCTAGAGAAAATTGACTTGGTGTCCTGACCAAAAGGTGTAGATATTTCTTCAAAAAGCAAATGAAAGTCTGTCCTCATGAAATTAAAACTAACTATAAGGTCTGTCTCCCGTCACAGTGACCACAGAAAAAAGGTCCCTGTAAGAGGCGAATGAAGTCAAGGTAGGCTGAGTTTAAACAATTCACCACTAAATACTGGTCCAGGGGTTTAGGGCAAAAATCCGCATGAAATTAAAGAAGAAAATCAGCGACTTAAAGTAGACTTCCGAGCGTCACCAGGCGAAAGAAAGGGTGCTTAGACTCCGGTGCACAGTAAGACTGTAGATGGTCATCGTCAGTCAGAAGTCGGTCACGCATTTTGCCAGATTTTAGTTGACCTCGATAACCCATTTAAATTAGAAAAAGTTAAAAGTAAAAGCCAGAGGATGAGTTCTTCGCGTATGAAAATTTCACATTTGTCTTGTGCTTCCAAACAGTTATCGTTAAACAAAACACTTGTCGGCCGTCATTAAAAGGGAGAATGCGATGCAATAAATTGAAAAAGACTTAAGTCAGTTTGAATTAATTTAACTGTCCAACACTTTGAGAAAGGCCAAAAAGAATATGGGTCTTCACTTACCCTATCGGCTTCTTAGATTTGTGAAACTCAGAAATGACTTTTTCCAAGTCCAACAGAATCTTACAAGATGCTCCAGACGCAGCAAAGTCGGACCTAAGACATTGAATAAAAATAACCGAAGCAGCAAAATAATAAGTCCAAGGAGATTCTTCAACAGGAAGCGAGCGAGAGAAAGAATGATGAGATTCTTACAACGTAGTTGCCACACCGAAACCGCCCGGAATCAATAAAGCATCGAATTCCGAAGGAACCAGAGACTTCAGTGGAAGAATTTTTCCTCTGCTGAGGCGGGCTGATTCGACCAACACATTTCTGGAAGGCCGTCGGTTTATAAGGGGAGCAAACCTTTTAGCAACCATTTCGCTACCAGTAAAATGGTCCACAACACGTGCTTGAGTAATATCGGGAGCAAACGCAGAAACCTTCGCACCAGCTTTATTGAGATGTATTAATGCACTAAAGGGTTATTATGAAGCCCATAATTACCTCGTAGCCTCGTGTATTTCGGTTCCATCATAAACACCGCAACCATGAAATACCTAATAAAGCTTTTCAAAATTAAAAATATAAATTTACCACGGCAACCCTTTTTTGTTGAGGCTTGGAACTAAATTTAACGGAATCCACGGAAAATAAGTGTGCACGAACACCAACTCGGAGAATTCGGGCAAGTCGATTCATAACGGAAGCAGACCGTACACGCTTTTTGATTTGACGGCTAACTTGCCATGTAGAAAAACGAAACTAGATTATGCTCGGGATCATCGAAAGGGACAGCGATGGGTCTTCATCCGTTTATATTGAACAATATGGCTATAATTTCAGAAAAGTCCATGATAAAAGAGAAAGCGGAAGACTAAAGAGGCACAAATAGGTTATCTTTGTGGCAGAATATTTGAATGTCAGAACATTTACGCACTGCAGTTGCTCCTACCAAGATTTACAGCCTTTCACTGTTTTCCTGTAACCTTGATAAGTCAAGTAGCTGAAACGTTTACACGTACCTTCTGTTATAACACCAACGACATCATTATTAAGAGAATTTAATGAATCCTTTGGAAACATGATATGTGGCCTCACTATCTGAACGGAATGCCATTCCGAGAAGCATAAAAATAGAAGGAACTAGCGGTTTGGATTGCAGACATCCGTAAGCCTCCTGCGCAGTGTCTTAAGCCGGCACGGGCTGCCATTTAAATGTTGTACGCCATTAAGTGGGCATTCGAGCTTTCGAGTAAAAAACGCTTCTCCAAAGTATTCGCACGTTTGTAAGGCCACGTCTTGAATATGCTATCCAGGCCTGGAGAACCTGGACGCGACAAGATCACAATAAACTCGAAAGGGTGTAGAGGCAGTTTACAAAATTAGTTAGAGTTCAAGGAGCACTGTCATATGAGATCCGTCTGTATAACCTTAGTCTCTACTCTCTGAGTTATAAGCAGTTACGCGGAGGCTTGATACAAACTTTCTGTGACAAACGGGACTTAGACTGTGCATTCCCGTGTGACGAGTTTTTCCAACCCGTCACTGCAAACAACCTCTGGAGACATCCCTTCAAACTACGTGTGCCTCAAGGAAAATTGTATGTGATTCAGTACTTTTTTCTAACCGTGCTGCGGAACCGTGGAATAACCTGTCCGAGGCGCTGTTTGGTGATTTAAATTGTGGATACATTCAAACATTGGCTCGACAGACACAAGAAACGACAGCGAGCAAATTATATTTTTGTGTAAAATTGGAAAATTAGTGAGCTATGTAAATCTGAGTTTACGTTCTTTTAATGCTGCAATTTCTTTATATTGTTGTTTATTCCGTCAATTTCATGTGTCTTATGGGGTGTTCATATGCGTAAGCTTATTTTACTCAAACACAATGAACTGAACTGAGGGTGTTAAGGTATTTAGCTTTCAATTCTGTGGGGGCTCAGAGAAATAGGAGAAGTGTGTTATCAGTTTCAGGGAGCCGTTTTCGGGAAGTCCGAATAGTTGACTTACGTGTTGCACAGTTTGAAATTGAAAAGGAATACAAACAGAAAACAAGCAATACCCTTTTGTACTGACGCCATTTTACGGGCTGTAGTTTTTTTGTCGAGAGAAGTATCCTGACTATCCAAAAACACTACCACTTCTATTTACTTCTAGAGGAGTATTTACATCACTAGGTCGATCTGTTCATTATCTTTCTTGACAATGCCCGTGATCTAATATTAAATATTGCTATTATTATTACTATTTTTATTATAAGTCATAGATCCTAATCTGTTTGTCAAGGACTGCGTACCCACAAAGCTCCACGTGGACATTAGTTGCAGTTCAGATGAGGAAATATGTAGGATAAAATTTGTTTAAAACGGGAAGATCCCTCTAATGAAAAGTCAGGAATGCGGTGTTATTTGGACAAAATTTACTGCTGTATGAGAGCCAACACATATACAAATATGCTGTAAAAGCGATTGTTGTAATAAACCAGATACAAGTCAATGAGTTTGCTAGCCCTGTCGCTAAATACACAAGTGATCGTGAGCTTTGTCTGGCTGCAGTCAGGCAGCAAAGTGGCATTGCCGATCGGTGTTAAGCTGTCGTCATGCATGTCTTAAGACACGAGCAATCGTAAGCATTCAAATGACAGAAAATGTATGGTGGGAAATTCGCAACGTCCAGTGAAATTCAACCTTCTTTCCTCCATAAAAATTTACCTAGTCAGGTGACGATGATGGACAGATTTTCGCAAAAATTACAGCCCATCTTGGCACTCGTTTCGACCGCCCAAATCACTCATCAGTGGCAGGCGGCTGCTGCTTAAGACTGTTCCGTTTCGTGCTGATTTTCTTCCTGAAAAATACGTAGGAACTGTGCGACCGCCCCCATACAGCTGGGCAGATAGACTGACAACCAGCAACTAGAGCAAACCGAAATTTACCCAGCAGGAAAATAATTTCAAGGTCAGGCCGATATCAAAGTTCTTCAATTGCCACGAAGGACATATTATTCATGCCCCCGAAAACTACCAAACTGCAAACTTCAATTTTTATATTGTACATATCGTTATTTTTTGAAAATTTTGTTATTATCTTCCTTTAGAACTGAGGTTTTTTTTAACCTAAAACAAACTCTCAATTCGCGCTCTTTTGGCTAAACAGACACCCGAAGCAAATGAAGTCAAAGTGCAGTTGAAATTGACGAGTTTGTTTTAGGTTTTTTTCCTAAGTTCAAAGGGGACTGACAGTGCCCAAGGGGCGCTACAATAAACCTATTCTATTCTATTCTATTCTGTCAGCTTGTTGGCGGAAAAGTTAGAGGTGCATTACGATCCCACATTTGCGGCCCATTTGAAGAGTAATTATATGTTTGCATGTCGGAGCGCACCCTGCCAACACATGGCCCCGCCTTGTGGGTGTGGCCAAGCGTGGCTGGACGTGGCCATGACCGCGAAATATTTTGAGAAATTTCAAGAGTCCTTTCAGCCGCTTAGACGAAATCTTCTGTGTTTTAATGTTGCGCATTTGCCTTAGTATACGTTAATTCGCCCAGAAAGTGCCTTGAGTCTTCAATTCTTGGGAGGTGATAATTTGCCTGGATAAGCCGATTAGGACGCTTTTGTTTAAGTGGGACACTTGGACGCCATTTTTCTGCTGCCCGACCGGACGCTCGCGACAAGGTGGTACTTTTTCCCACGTAGATTTCATGTCTATCGCGTCTTTATGGTCTTACCTACGCAATTACTAATCTCTTTTATGCTATGCAAGTAGGTTTACTAACTTAAGTACAATTTTGATCTCGCAGTGAGCGTTTTAAGTGCAGTTCAACTTTTTCTGTTGTTTTATACCCATAATGTGGTACTTATCGAAAATAGACCGTGCCTGATGACATCAGTGTCGGCTACCAGCATAACTTACCGCCCGTTCCTTGACTGTGAGGATCTTTTTACAACATCCCTTCCCTCATCCTCCTTGTATATGTTTAAATCCTCCCGTTTGTCATACATTCCTTCCACTGCTGCCCTCTCAGGCATAATTTGTAAGTATGTTCCCTTTGATATTGACGGTCGTTTTTTTCTGATTCCCTTCCTGCACACTGTGCGTGCGCGGTGACTCTTGTTTACATTGTTCATTTGAGGATATAAATTTCCCTGTAGATGTATTCGGTTGTGGAGTTCGTAAATGACAAGACTGTGGCCATGGTGGCTGCAGCCTGGTTTTACGACGTTGGCAGCGTTATGTGGCCTAAGAACCACAAAGAGCGGGCCGTCCTGCTAAATACTAACAGGCGGCCACCAGACGGCACCAAGGTGTACGCTGTGAATTAGGCAGGGGGATGAGGAGAAAGTACATGTTCCTTACTATTAATATTTCTGTGCAGGTATTTCCGCAGGCAGACGTCGGATTCAGACGATGATGACGAATTACTTTATCGTCCGAGACAGCTATTTGGTTGGCCATCACCACCACGAATATTACAGTAAGCCTAATTATTCGTACGCCAAGGACGGATTAAGAGATGCCCCACGTGTTCTGTCGGTCGAGTCACCCTACGCCATCGACTTCATATCGGTAACTGCCTTTTATTAATTTTTACCGAAGGCTGCCTAGGGAAATGCCGGCACCTGCGCCAGTGCCTGCTACCGAACCTGCATGTAGCCATCAGGCGCAGAGTGACATGAATGACGTAAACTTTCGGTTAACGTCCCTCGAGTAAGACTGTTGACAATCTCATTGACAATTTATTAGAAACAAAGTCGATTTCCTGGCCGAGCAAATGGTCGCCCTCAACAACAGTGTGCGGGAACTGCAGGCAACAATGACTGATGCTGTCAGTGCATTAGAGAGGGGTGCCACTGCCGCAGAGGTCGGGCCCTCTCGTCTGCATTTGCCATTGTGCACAGCCGAAGCCTACGAAGACTTCGTCGGCTAACTACTGAGGCGGAATTAGCATACAAGGCGGTATGTGTATATTTGTTTAACTGTTTTCAGTTCAGACAGCTGGCCGTGGTGGGAGGGCGGAGTGAAAAGACTTTGTCAAACATCTTTTTACTGCTCATATTGGTCCGCCGCTTTGTTACACCTTCTGCTGGAGGGACTGATCCAAGAAGAAGCGGTCGTTCCTTGCCTGCCCGTTATTTAGCATCCTCAACGGTAGCTCTACTTTTTGCTTATTGGCACATACAGATGCCATCGGCCAAAACCCCCGTTTCAGCAACTGCAACAGCGAGGTACTTCGACTTACAGCCATCAATTGGTTCCATGGGTCGAAGGACCGTTATGGAGGACGATCGAGACGCAGGCGCAATATTCACACAGTACGACATTTTGCTTTGAATAACTGCCTAAATGTGTTCAGTTTCAAGGAGTCCCCACTGATGAACTCGCATGCCCACAACTTTCGCCTCCGAAGTACACGTAAGTTAACTGAAAAAGACTGCTATTAACACATTTTATGCTATTTCCCTCTTTTCAATAATTATAATGATAGTATGTATTTCGGAAGTATGTATGCATACTAGTATGTATGAACTAACCGTGTACTTTACAATAATAATTTTTATATTGTAATAACGATTGCAAAGTACATTGTTAATTCACTCGATGATGTCTGCCTGAGGTATGACGTTCGCAGAAGTAGTAAATCTGTCCACCTATCTCTTGAGTTCGAAAAGTGAGAGCACGCTTTACTCGGCCCTCGTTG